GCCCCGCGGCTTTGCTCCGCCCCCACGTGCCCAGGCTGCCGGCCACAGCCCGCGCGCACACAGACGGGCCCGGCTCGCGCCCGGCGAGGACGGGACCAGGAGCCGGCCCGCACACACTCAAGGCAGGATCAGATCAATCCTGACTAAACCACCCTGTTCTTGAAGATCTGTGGAGCACAGACATCCTCCCACCCCCTCTCTAGTCCATTCCCACCCTCATAGGAAGGTCCTCCGCATCTCCAACCTCCGGTTTCCCCTGCTGCTGATTGAGGCCATTGCTCTTCATCCTGCCGCAGAAAATCCCCCATCTCCATCATCTTTAGAACAGGGATTTACTGTTCCCAGCAACTCTGTTGTGGGTGAGGGTTTGAAGTGGTGGCGATCTCGGGGGAGCACATAGGCCGCCTGTAAACACAGGGCACATCTGCACGAGACACTGACTGTGCATTGACCTGATAACACTGCGCAGGGGTTTCAGGGAAACTGCACCACAAAGTCTTGAAAGCAAAACTCATGTCACACGTATGTGTTAAGGCACAGTGGGGTGAGAACTGCAGGGGTGGTAGCTTCTGCTGAGGCCACAAAGTCTGCCAAGTTTCAAGGAGATCGGTGCAGGGCCTTGGGGCAACTGCACCTCAAGCTGCAGACAAGCAAAGCTTGTGACATGGGTGACACTGCATGTTAAGGCGCAGCAGGGTGACAGCTGCAGGGATGGTGGCCCCTGCTGAAGCCACGAAGCCTGCCAGCTGTCAAGGAGATCGGTGCAGGGGGTCTGGGCTCGGGGGTCCTGCACCCCTAGCTGCTGACAGGCAAAACTGGAGCATACAGCTCATTAACTGACTCCAAGGCAGAAAGCAGGGCAGGTCAAACAGTGCTGCCGTTTATGCAGTTTTTCCATCCCTCCCCCAGAGCACTGGGATTGGAAGGGACCTCAGGGATGGGTGACAGTCCCGGCCCTTCCCCCTCTCTCTCCTTACTTTAATTTCTGTCTCCCTGCAGACAAGCCCAGCTTGAGCTTCAAGACTTGAAACCTTCGGAAAATTTTGAAACGTTTTGACTTGCCTCATTTCATTTCGAGGCTGTTTCGGAGCTCTTTGTTTCATTTTAATTTCGTTGTTTCGAGCTCGAAACAAGTTGAAACAACATCGAAAAGAAACTGCCAGTGAAATTTCGCGCAGCCCTACTGCGCAGTAGTGTGTCATGGCATGGGCGACTGGTTCCTCCTGAGTCTGGGGCGGCACCAGATCACCAATGGGGAGAGGGGGTCCCCTGCTGCCAATCACTGATCAGGGAGAGGGTCCCCCAGCGGCTGATCACCGACCAGAAGGGGGGGTCCCCCAGCAGCCGACTGCCACTTCCAGGGGGTGCACAGCTGATCTCAGGGGACGCACGCCCTATGTGTCTGAATGTGTCATGGCAAAAACTGAGCGAATAGCCTACTGCACAGTGTTATTAGGCTAATGCGCAGTAAATATCATTAAATAACCATGCACTGGCACTACCGCTCAGTAACTTTAGGTATTTAGTGCTTTATTAAGGAAGTACTAAACTAAATGCTCAGTATTTAAGGTGCATTAACAAATGTGTAGATACATGCACAGAGACCTGAATTTAATGGCCTAGAGGGCTTTTTTTCCACTCATATCCCTAACACAGGATAGAAATCCTAGCCAGGAAAGAACCAATTGTAGCCTTCGTGCTTATTAGTGAGCAGAGGGAGATGCAAGGACAGAAATATATGGTTTCTTTCAACCTCCTCTCTCACATTTAAAATCAGAGTTGACTTATCACCCCCAGGACTTCCCTGCTCTTTTGGACACTTGCTGTCTGGGATCCATTGCTGTTTTGCTCACAGACAGCAAATGTTCCTAGGGGTTTATTCATATCTCGCAGCCTCGCTAGGTTTCATACAGTACTAATATGATGGCACATATCTTTTTTAAGTACGTTTTAGTTTTCACCAAAATGCTGGTGGGAAACCCTCATGTTGTTCCAGTAAAGACTTAGCAGATAAAAACTCCTGAGAATTGAGATGGTGGGGAAATAGGGTTTTTACATAGATTTTAAACAGTTAAAGATCTCTCGTTGTTGCCGGTCCAAGTCAGATAACCAACCCCCCAGCCCCTTCTCCACCAGGAGGTAATCCCATCACCTAGGTTTCGAATTACACTTTGACTCTTGAGGGCAGCGGGGTCTGCCAAAAAAATTGGGCTGCCCATCACAATGCCCTAATAAAATCAGAGACCCCCCCAAGTTATGATTTTCAAATCTTACAGGGGCGCCCTCGTCTCTTATGGGGGGGCTCAGCCACTCCCCCCCACCCCGAGTTCGCCCATAATTTGAACCCTGCAGTCAGTCACCCTCTCCTCACAACAAGGAACCTCCCAAGCTGACCGAACCTCAACCTCCTCGTGCCCATCAGTGCCCTTCCATAAATCCAATCCCCCTGCATTACCATCCAGCCTGTACCTGCCTCACAAGACCATCGGGGAGATGAGAGGAGGGGGAGACAAGGCCTTCTCACCCCATCCTGGGCAGACTCTCTCCCCGCCCCACTTCCCACTCCTCCCCATCAGTCCCACAGCCATAAATGCTGCTACCCCGGGTCACTCACCCAGCAAAGCCAAAGGGGTCTGGAGCCTCCTACTAGCCTGAGTCCAAAAACCAGTGTTGATCTTTGGGAGAGAGGAGAAAGATGTCTTGTCATTTCTGTCATTTGCCATGTCTTGTAATTTGCATGGCGGTGAGCATCAAAAAGACGCTCCAGCCCCCTCCCAGTGAGTGCTTTCCAGTGAGTCACCCTAGAAGCTGAATAGGAGCAAATGACATTTGATTTTTAATCTCCAGAGTCAACTGAAACGCATGCTCCGCTCAGAGCTTGCAAGCTCGGAAGAGAAAAACCCCTTTGTCCTTGTTTCTCTCCAACCAATTCCCGCCTGTCCTGGGTTCAGATCAGAGCTGGCACCCCAGACGGGGAAAACAACCATGCTGAGGCCCCATTCCCCATCTGCTACGGGCTAGCATGCCCTGGAGACCTGTTCTTTTGTCTGCCGTTAGCATTTCTTCCCCTCTCTGGGCCTCCTCTTTTCCACCCATCATCTACGCCTCAGATCATTTTACAGTTAAATTTGCCTTTATAATGCCAACGGTTCAGTTCCTGTTTGGTGCATCAGTTAACAGCCTCGAGAAGTATTCTTGAGCTTCCTGACATGGGGGAGGCAGGGGTGAGATAGGGATCAGGTCTCATCAGGCAACTGGTTTCTTCTAAGAAGGACGAGCTCTTCCCAAAGGGGAGTCTTTCATGAATCACAGGCACGGCCGGTGGAAAGGGACCTCTGGAGGTCACGAATAGTCCAGCTCACTGCCCGAGGCCAGAGTCACAGAGAAGTGGGGCTGGAAGAGACCTCCATTAACCAATGATGAGTGTTCAACGTGTTACGTGCAAAATAGTAACATCAGCTATCATGGTACATTGCGAGAGTGAAATAAACCCAGAGAATATCATTAGCTAGAAAAAGCTAATAATGTGTACAAGCACACCCAGAGGTCACATCTAATCCAACCCTCTGTCTGAAGCAGGAGCAGCCCTATCCAAACTATCCGCATACGTATCTGTCATCTAACCTCTTCCTCCAGCTACCGCCAGCCCTGACACAACACCGCACATCTCACCCGCACCTGCCACAGGTTCTTCCGTCGCTGCACAGGTTGTTAATATACCCTCGAGAGATCCCAGGTGGAGGGCGTGCTCCCTGCTACAGAGGAAGGCAAACCCACCTCCTAGACCAGACCAAAAGTCCTTCCCGACCTCCAATGCAGTATCGTTCCTGAGTGAAAAGGCGAGACTCTTATAACCAGGATCCTCCAGGTCCTGGGCTGGGCTGTAGCCTGGGCTGTAGCCAACACGTGACACTGATGAGGAGGGTGAACGCCCCCAGCCCCTCAATACATGTGGGGCGGGGAATAATTCCTTCCCCGCCCCACAGGGCAACCAGCAAAGCCCGGGAGATGCTCCACACCCTCCAGTCTGCTCTCCGCACCCCTCCCACCCTCTTATCTTAGGGTGCGCACCTTGTTCCTCCCGCTCCTCAATGGCCTTATCAGATGTTTTGCACCACCAACTGTCCAACTGGCCCCGTTGCTGGAGAAGCAACGCCATTCCCATCCTCTTGGTTCCCTTAATGCCACCAATAGAAAGGCTGAAGCAAGATAGTCCTTTACCTCTCACTCCCCACCAGCCAGCTTCTCCAGACTGGTGGTCCATCCATACCGTTGGCGATGGAGACAGTTCCCTTCTGCTTTACTGCAGGAGATAGAAACCCGACCTTAGCTTTCCCCATAGTCACAAGATGTTATTGTTCCACATCATCAGACTCCTCTGACAGCGGGAATCAGTATCACATGACTCCCAGCGTGGGCAGTAGGAATTCCCCACTTGAGTCCTCCAGCCCAGTTAGCAACAGATCAGGTGAGATGCCAAGCGTCGGCTTGTTTTGCTGTGAGAAGCCACGTTTTTAGTTCAGCTGTGTGCTTTGTATCCTTCGCTGAGGGAAATCATCCCGTCTGAGCAACAGTGACTCTTCCAGTTCCCATTCTTCCTTCAAAGCCTCCCCAGTCTCTGTCAGACTTTCTGGGGAGAACCATGTAATGGGGGAGGTTTCTGTCCAGGTTCCCCTCATATGCAAAGCTCTTGCTGTCAGCAGCAGTGGTGGAAGTCCCTGATTTAGAGAATGATCTCTACCATGGCTCATTGATGGAGGTGACTCAGGAGTCCAATCTCTGAGCCACAGATCTGCCTGCAGGAGATGCAAGTCTTTCCACGGGAAGCGGGTAGAAAGGTGATGGAGTTGATGCCTATCCGTCGGAAGATATCAGACATTTCGCTTTCACTCCTTCCTGAACAGGAAAGCAGGCATGAAGGCAGAGCCCCAGAACAGCAGGCAGAAGCATCAGCTAAGAAATCAGCCTTAGAAACCTTGAAAATTCCCCTTGACCTACCAGGCAAGTCTGCAGCATGTGATATGCCAGAAGGAGGGCGGGGATTCGGTCCCTGTTCTTTCCCTCACAGCTGCTTTGTGGTAGTTATTTCATGTTCTGGTTCCTCTTTACAATGCCACCTGTCGCATCAGGCTGCCAAGAACCAGGAAAACACCATATCACCCAAAACCAAAAGAAAAGAGGCCAGAAACAGACATCCCTCACTTCCATTCCTGCCACATGCATCAAATGTGTGGGTTTTTTAGGGATGTATTTGGTAGCTGTGTTGGTCTGAGACAAAAAGAAATGCAAAACTCTAGAACGCTTGGTTCGGGGATGATGCCTTTATTAGACCAACTAAGAAATCACAAAAAAACCCTTTTTCTTCAAGCTTTTGGGTAAGTGTGTCCTTCCTCAGGCTTAGGGAAAATTAAAGAGGGGTTTTTTAAGCCTTTCTCAGCAGCACTGAGTGTTGGCTGCGGCCGAGTTGGGGGATGTGACTGAGATGTGCCAATGCTCCTGCTGAGATCATAGGATCATAGAAAATGGGGGTTGGAAGGGACCTCAGGAAGTCGCATCTAGTCCAACCCCCTGCTCAAAGCAGGACCAGCCGCAGCTACATCAATCAAACCAAAGCTTTATCTAACTGGATCTTAAGAACCGTCAAGGATGGAGATCAATCCCAGAGGGTCCTGGCTAAAAGGTCTTGCCCCTCCACTCAGGCTCAGACCAATGCCACATTGGAGGTAAGGGAAGAATTCTACCCCAGATTGTGACGGACTGGCGGGGAGGGCTGCCTTCCTCTGTCATGGAGGCAATGCCTCTGCCTGGGATCTATTGAGTATATCTTAACCACCTGTGTAACAGCCAACATCCTGACTGCCTTCCCTGTGGCAGGTTTAGGTGTGATGTGTGGTGTGGCATGAGGGCTGATGAAGAGCTTAGAGGGACGTGTCTGGGATGATTTAGATAGAGATGGTCTTGCCACAGACAGGGGTTGGACTAGATGACCTCTGGATGTCCCTGCCAGCCCCACTTCTCTAGGATTTGATGACTACGCGACCTCTGAAGGTCCCTTCAAGCCTAATTCCCCTATGACCTTATGACCTCTGGATGGATCACCATGTCCTTTCCTCCCTGCCCTGGGCAGGGACTGGGGTGAACTAGGCCACCTCCAACACATTTGACCTCTTCTCTGGAGCTTCAAGTGAGGGGAATTTCTCCATCATAGCATGCTCCAGGGCTTAACTACTCTTCCAGTGGTCAAGGGTGGGCATTAGGGGGGCACAGTGCTGCTGGAGGCAGGGCTGAGGGCTATGGCCAGGCCCCAGGGGGCACTGTGGAGCTGAGCGCGGGGTGGGGGGATCAACAGGGACCCCCAGGGAGCATTAGAGCAGCATCTGCCCAGCTGGGGCTGCAGTGGGCAACAGGGGCCACTAGGGGGCATCAGACACTACAGTGCAATACTGCTGGGGGCTCTGCCTCCCACCCCCATGTTCCTATGCCGTGGGGGGGACACTAGGGGGTGCTGTACTGTGGGAGGCAGCATGTGGGACCTGGGATCTCTGCCCCAATGCCCCAGGGCCAAGATCCCACCAACAGGAGAAGAGGACGAGGACACAAATGGGGCACCATGTTGGGGGGTTTATTTGTGTTAGGTGCAAACTGGGGGTGGGAGCGTAAAGAGAGGGTGGGAGGAGTTGAGGAGGAGCAGGGGGAGGGAGGGCGGGGTCAGAGCTGGCACTTAAGAACTGTGTTGGAGGTTGTGATGAACCACAGCTGCCCCAGGTCATGGGTCACATGCTTGATCAGGGTCCCAGTTCTGATGAGCATGGTCCAGGAGGTGCCTACCACGACATGCTTGGTTATGCCATCCCTGCTGGTAGGGAAGGGGGTGGCGTGAGGGCCCAGGGCACTATCTGCTGCTGCTGCTGCCCTACCTTGCCCCTCACTTTGCCCCAAGCCTGGGGGCATAGGCCAAGGGCACCTGAGAGAGCCCCCAGGGCCCACCCAGGATCCCACACAAAGGGATCCCCTCTAACCTGACCCTAAGCCGCCCACCCTGCCCAGTCCTCCATGGGGTCTGTGACCCCTTGTGGGGGGGTGCCTTAATCACCGCTCACCAGAGGCAGCCCCCAGCAGCCCATACAGGGCAGTGAGAATGGGCAGCATCTTGCAAGTCACCAAGGACAGGCCGGGGGCGCCTGTGGTTGCGTCAGGGTTTTATAGCCAAGAGGCTGGAGCTGCCGGATTCCAAGGAAATCCCCTCTGCTATACGTTACCAGTCTTACTGGTGCTCAAGTAAACTTAGTGGCTAGCTAAGTTGATCACAAGTAGAAGCCAGGTAACATATACCAGTGCAGAACAGAAATCAGGGAATAAATGTAGTGTGTGTGTGTGTGTGTGTGTGTGTGTGTGTGTATTAAGCACTTAATCAGTAAACGCAGCACTTTGCCTTATCCCCCCTTATAAGGTCTCCCTCATGATTAAAGCAATTGGCAATTTGTGTAACATTTAAGTGATGCAGACAGATAAAAGACCAAACGAGAAGAATCCACCCCAGAACAGTGAGAAAACAACAGCAATCAACCTTCAAGGAAGAACTCAGTGATAACTCAGCAAAAACCCAGAGGACCGGGTGAATTTACAACGCTATAAAAGATGGGGTGAGACATATCAATTCTAGGTCTTGTTCTGCATGTCATCCTGAAGCATTGGCTCATCTGACGAGAGGAACCAGCAGGAGCCCAGCTTTTACTTGTAATCAACTTAGCTGGCCACTATGTTAGCTCGAACACCAATAAGACTGGTAATGTATACCAGCGCAGAACAGAAATCGGGGAATGAAAATGCTGCGTGTGTGTGTATGTGCGTGTGCGTGTGCATGTGTGTGTTAAGCACTTAATAAACGTGGCACTTTGCCTTATCCCCCCTTATAAGGTCTTGCTTGTAATTTGAGCAATTGGCTATTTGTGTAACATTTAAGTGGTGGAGAATTGTGGAAGGGGGATATATAGGAAGCTCTGTGTTTATTGTTCCTCTGTTGTTCATCCTCAGGGTTGTAAAATTCCCTGAGCTTATGGGAGAAATGAGATTTTTGCCAATTAGGAGATTTAGAAATGTTTTTATTCAGAAGAAAGAAGGAATCTAAGAAACAGAAACCTGGGAAGAAAGTGTTTACAGTAACTTTACCTTATGTGCAGGAGGTGTCTGCCATGAAAAAGGTTTTACAGGGACTTGGTCACAATCCCTGGACAGAACAGGCAGTGACAAATGTTAGTTCCTTGTCAGATTGAGAGGATAAACGAGAGCGGTACCTAGCAATTTACAAGCCACAGACTTCAAAAGAAAAACAGACTGTGGTCTTTTGGTTTTTGTGGGAAGGATGCCAGGACGCATGTGATAAAGTTAGGAAAGAGAAACAAGAGAACATCGCATTGCAAAAGGAGTTACAGCCGGTTAAGGAGGATTGGGAGAGATGGAAGGCTACAGCTCTGGGAACTGAAAGTCAGCTGGAGCCTTTACAAGAGGCATACCGAGAAGGGAGAATAAGAGAAAGTAAATTGTTGAGAAAGGTGGCTGAACAGGCTATATATAAAAAGGAGATGGAAGTCTTAAAGGGTATGGTGTATCAGCTTACCCTAGAACAAGCAAAAATCCTGCCTACCACAAAGCACAAATCTGCTACTTGCTATTGGGATAAACTAAACAATGAAACCACTAAGGTGTATTATAATAGAGAAAGTTGTGTGTGTATAATTGGGTTAGAAGGAGGAGTTGTTTGGCAAGGGAGGAATGTTTCTGAGCCACCAGTACAACAATGTATGTGTAATGTGACTGGTACAAACCCCTAAACTGACCTATTATTTCCCAATTCGCAAAGCAAAGGAAATCATCCCTGGAAATGGGAATAATTTGCTTGATTTCCATTTCTCTTTAGGAATCAATTGCACTACCTTAAATTATCAGTTACAAAAGAATTCACAAATTAGCCATCTTACTACTATAACATGAGAACAAAATCAACTGCACACTATAGTTATTTTACACCAAGGTTCAGAAATTCAGAAAGTATCTGAAGAAGCTAAACAAATGATGGTACACCATTGTTATGATATTTTCAAGGGATAGTCACCAGGATGGACGGCGGTCCTAAATGTTATTGTCACAACCCAAAGTTGTGGTTTTTTTGTTTGAGTGCGCTTCGGCATCGCTAAATCATGTTCCCGCCAAAATTGCAGCTCTTTTGCACGGTGGAGTGTTCTGTTGCAACAGAGGACCCGCATGCAGGAGCTTTTCCCTCCAGTTCTGTAGCTTTCTTTGCATGGTGCATTTCTTTTGCATTATAGTGATGCACGATGCAAAGGAGTTCCTGCCATTTGTATTAAGATTCGAGCCACATTATTGGCCAATCTTAATGTAGGCACCTAAGCGCTGCTGATCCATACGAACCCAGCTTTTTCCTTAAGAGGGCAACAGAGGTTTAATTTGTCGAACCCACGGAGCTTCAACAACTATTTACCGTACCCTCGGAGCCTTAACGACTCCGAGGCAACTAACCTCTAGCCTCTCCCCGTCGCCGATCGCAGCCCAGACGTATCCCTGTCCTAAGGACCCCATTGTCAAACCCACGGAGTCTTAACAGCTCCGGGGGACCTGGGAACCGAGTAACACTCACTGAGATACAGCTGCTCCGTGGGAACGAATTCTTGAACCCGCGGAGCCTGATTCACTCCGGGGTCAAGGAACCGAGTTTATTAGAGTCCTCCACTGAGAACTCAAGCGGAGCTGAGCCTGGAAAGCTGACCAGCCTACACCACGACCACCTTGGGTGTAAGTAAATAATCTTTTCAATCAACCATGACGCCTCCGTGACTGATTCTAGCTCGAGCATACTATACCGCACCGCGGTTTTCTC